GGACGTTCCGAAGACGGCCATCACCACCCCATTTGGCCTCTTTGAGTTCCTGTGCATGCCGTTTTGACTCCGCAACGCCTCCCAGACCTTCCAGACGTTCGCTGATCGGCTGCACCGTGGCCTACCTTTCGTCTTTACCTATATTGACGATCTCTTGGTGGCCAGCTTCACCGCCAAGGAACACATGGAACATCTCGCAAGGGTGTTTGACCGCCTTCAACAGTTTGGCGTTGTTCTCAACCCGTCCAATCGTGTCTTCGGTTTGTCTTACCTTGAATATATTGGACATCTGGTTGACTCTCATGGCATTCATCCTCTGCCGGCAAAAGTCGAAGCCATCCGCGAGTTCAGCCTTCTTCTTCTTCCAAGCGTCAACTTCAGCACTTTCTGGGCATGGTGACCATCTATCACCGGTTTCTCCCGAACTGTGCTGACACCATTCTGCTGCTCACACATCTTCTCTCTACCTCCAAACGTTCGTTCGAGCTCCCCGCAGAGGCCCTCGCTACTTTTGACAAGATGAGGGCTGCCCTGACCGATGCCACACTCTTGAAGCACAACGTGCCCAATGCACCTCTCTCCCTCATGGTCGACGCCTCCAATGTTGCAGTCAGTACGGTTCTTCAACAGCAACTTGCAAGTCAAAATCAACCCTTAGCTTTCTTTTCCAAGAAGCTAACACCTGCCGAATCGTGTTACTGCACATTTGGACGGGAGCTTCTGGCTGTCTATTTTGCCGTGAAACACTTCCGGCACTTCCTCGAGGGCAGAATTTCCAACGTCTTCTCTGACCACAAACCACTATCCTACGCCTTAAAGTCACAATTAGACAAGTTGAACCCACGGGAGCTTCGATAACTGGACTACATCCCGCAGTTCACCTCAGACATCCGCCACATCGGTGGGTCACGCAATGAAGTGGCTGAAACATTGTCCAGACCCTCAATCGCCCATTTACAACTTACTCCCGGGATCGACCCGACTACCATGGCTGCCGAACAACGCCGTGTTCATTCACCCTGTGACGAGGACGTTTCCGGACGCAAACTCCAGGAACTGCCACTGACTACTGGCAACGGCACCATCCTGTGTGACGTCTCCACCGCCTCCCATCATCCATTCGTGCCACCATCCTTTCGCCGCACAGTTTTCTCCTCTCTGCACAACTTATCTCACCCTGGGAGTCGAGCAACCGACAAGTTGGTCTCTGATCGTTTCGTCTAGCCTAGGATGCACAAGGACATCAAAGCTTGGGCACAGGCTTGCCTGAGCTGTCAACGGGGCAAGGTCCACCGGCACAACAAGGCACCCATCGGCACCTTTCTGACACTGGTACACGGTTCAGTCACATCCATCTGGACATTGTAGGC